CCAGAATTTTCGTTTGTTCAGTTTTCAAATTTGGAATCCTTATTTTTCGAAGCGTAATCTGTAATGGAAGCTTGTAAAGCTGTGCCGTAAAGCTTGAGAAAGCTTCTTTCTGATTGGCCAATGTCATTTCATTGGTCCGGAAAAGTCCTTCTGAAGTGAGGAGATCCTCAAAACCTTGTACAGCGGTAAGGAGAACTAAGATCTGATATAATGAGACTGTGATCGGCAACTTTGTCCCGAAAGTCTCTAGGTCTTGGGTCCTACTCCATACAGAATTACACGTGTCCCTCTTATAATGACTTTGTTCGAAATATGATTCTGTTCATCCAGCCATGAATCATAAGATGGGATGTGACCGTTGCTTATTAAAACCTCACAGGCAGCTTATGTTGTATACTCCTCAGGGAGCTGGGAATGCAATTCAAATAAACGGGGTAATGTTAATGTAGAAAAAAAAGAACTTGCACTTGATGATTGGAGTTATTCGCGTTATATTTTGGCTGTGTTGAGTTGCATCACTTAGTTGTGTCAGGATCCGAATCTTGAGACGTCGGATCACAGATTCATCCTGAATTTCATAAAGTTTCTTAGCAACACGTTCGTGTTAAACGTCGATGATTTGAATCAGTTCCTCTCGCCCTAAGCTGGCAATCCTTTATATAAATACTTGTACATATAACGGAAATACTCATCAAAACGACCTCAATCCTAAGCCACTCACATAAGCATATGCAAGAGAAATAGTATTGACAGACGCAATAAGGGAACAGAAGCCGAGTTATCAAATCATATCTTTGTGCAGAGTTGTGCCCCTTTACCATGGTTTCGAACTCAACTGTTATACTTGGGCCGTTAAATTTATACCACGTTCAGGGGTTTCAAAGATTAACATTGATCTATCTTATTTGGGCTCGCCACCCGCCGAATCGTCAAGATGTACACAAGTTCATCACGTTAAACTTAAAAGTTAATGGTCAAAGTTAAAGTTGAATAGAATTGACAAGGGAAGGAAATCTCCATCGTACGATTCCAACCACACGTATATCATTAGCGTTTACTGACTTAGTCACACAATAGATCGACGAGATCCGGGTTAGAACTGGTCTTCAGTAACCCATGCTTGTCGTAAAAGGCGACTAACGGTTTCGTGGTCCGGCTCGCTGAATTGATTGACAATTGTCACCGCATCCCATTTGAGTATATGCTCATGCTGTTGATCACTGGATTGTCTGGTCCAGAATTATTTACAGACCACCGCCATGTTGCTGGAATATTGTTGAGTGCGGCGTTAAACAACACACAAACACACCAGATCTTCGAAATAACTACAGTCGTGAAGAGAATAAGATGGTGGTTGTTTGAAACTAAAAGTTTCTGAAGTCTCACCAGCATGTCTAAAGGTCATGGGCATTTAATGCCCACGACCCAGCTCTGACTGACAAGGGTCTGACATCATCTGACCATCACCGCCATCCTCATCTGTCACCATTGCGTGCAGTCATAGCTTCAGTGGGCTGGAGTCGACGAAAGTCGCCCACGACAATACACTTCAAAGGAAGCAGCTCTCTTATTCTAACTTTCCCTAGAAGCTATAAGTTAAAAACACACGGTTTTTAATATTCATAACAGGTTTCCTATTTCACGTGTCCTAATCTAGAGATAAGAAACGTAATGACTGAAGTAAGAATCTAAAATAGTGACTACGGAACAGGGAGAAACGTTTTAATGATTGGATACACATTGCAACCTACATTTAGCTGAGCTACTTGTGTCCGGTTTGTATGTATACAGCTATAAAGGAGCTCAAGAACATCCAATTCTTTTATTTACCGTAGTTAATATGGTACGGCATGGAAATATATCTATACTAAAGATATGAAAGAATCGGATGTTCCTTAACTTCTTTGAGCGGTACATGTTGTTTTTATGGTTTTGTTTCTTGGTGAGCGGTGTTTAGTATTCTCCAGAAAAAGAAAATCTGTGATGTAACAGGAATGGTGTTCAATGTCAATCGAATCCAGCCTATTCACACCATGATATGTCGCCTGTATTGTTCATGCCTTCGGCGGGATTAGCCTAGTGGTTAAAGCGTTCGCTCGTCACGCCGGAGACCCGGGTTCGATTCCCAACATGGGTACAACGTGTGAAGCCAATTTCTGGTGTTCCCCGCCGTGATATTGCTGTAATATTGCTGAGAGTCGTGTAAAACTAAACTCATTTACCCACACATACCATAGAAATTTCTAGCATTTACCCCTGTGGTTTCTTTCATTTAGTTATAGCGTTATTCCGGATCCCTCACCTTCTGGGCAATGTGTTGGGAACATCAATGCGATCACTCACTCTTCCTCGTTAACTTGGATTATTGAACGCTATCGCTCGGATTCACTGTATTCAAAGTACGTCCTTTGTTGCATTTTATTTAATTAACTGTGTTCAACATTTTCTATATTGTGTGCTTTTAATTAAATGTATTCCATATTACGTTTCAGAGTAGTATAGTCTCCGCATACGACGCAAATAAATCATATTAGTGGCAACGACTGATTCACCACCAACTGCACTGAGAATCGCCTCCAATGGACCAAACCGACGCTGAGTCCAAATTGGGCCAACTGTTTCGGGCTTGTGACTTGGATGGTTCCGGCTACATCGACCAGAACGAACTTCAGGCGGTGTGCTCCGAACTCTCGAAAGACGAACTTGTCGATGTCTTCAGTCAGCTCGATAAAGACGGAGATGGCCGAATCAGTGTCGAGGAGTTCGCCCGAGGGTTCACGGAAATCAGCGAGGCCCTCCAGACGAAGAGTCGAGTTAAGATGCGGGAACGTTTGAAGAGTCAGAACTCCGATGACAAAATTATTGCTCATGAGGATGACTTTGTGGGCATACTGGACGAAGGACTTAGAGCTATTTCAAGGTAAGTAAGCGAAATGTTACTTTTCGATTTTACCTTTTCTCTAGTGTGTGTTTTCAATTAAATCCGTTCCGACCAACGTTTCAAAGAATAGACACGTGAATGACCAGCATATTGGGTGTGCTGTCACTTTACGAAATAGTGTCTGGAGATCATCCATGGGTGTTAGTGTGTATGTGTGTGTGTGTTCGTGTACGTGCGTGCGTGTGTGTGTGAATGTGCGAGTGTGTTGGAGGAGGTTTTTTATTGTTTGCTTGAAGACGGAAGAGTTTTTTCAAACGCCGCTTTCCCACGACAACTTTATCAGAACATCCAGCATGTCCAATGAATGATTAATTAGGGAGTGTAAAACCTATCCAATTATTTCCAGATTTTCGGGCACAGAATATTTCAATATTTAATCAAAGGTCGATTTTGGCAACAAAGTCCGCCGAAGGGTCCCAGGGCTACGGTGGCTTTGTTTCCGTGTTGTAAGTGAGTGAGTGAGTGAGTTTAGTTTTACGCCGCTTTTAGCAATATTCCAGCAATATCACGGCGGGGGACACCAGAAATGGGCGAAACACATTGTACCCATGTGGGGAATCGAACCCGGGTCTACGGCATGACGAACGAACGCTTTAACCACTAGGCTACCCCACCGCCCTACGTGTTGTAAGCCGTGTGTACCGGCCTCCCTCCCAGTCGCTGTCCGAGAGCCCACACTGTCCCTAGTACATGATGCGGTACAAGAGCATCCATTCACATCAGCAACTGTCAGCTTCTTCTGTTTTTAAACAAGCAAACCAGTGGCTGTTTATCACTACGTATTTCAACAGCTGTTATAGATAACACATTAAAACAATGTGGAACAGCATATCGGTCGATACATACGTACCGATATGTACACTTCCATCTGAGTGACCAGTAATGCTTTAAAATGGTATAGATGTTTGCATCGCTGATACAACGTTGGATGTTGTTGCGGGAGTCGTGTGTCGTTGTTGAGTGCTCGAATTCACGACCATTGTAAGGTTAATAATTTCATTGAGTATTACGACATGTTACATGTTATAAGTTGCCTCTGTTATTAAACCTTCATCAAATGATGTCAGTTAATATGGAAACGCAATATAACAATAATAATATACCAAGTTTCTATAGCGCCCTATATGATTTAGGAACTAAAACACTCTAATGCGCTATACAGAAAGAGTCACAGATGTTACTGGGTGTAGACTGATTTAAAGAGATGGGTTTTACGCCCTTTAACAAATCTCATAAGATGTTGAGTTTCTCATGGTAGATGGTACATCAATGCGGTAATGTAGTTTATGCAGTAAATACGTTGAAACATACCTTTAAATCGTGGTTTGCGAATGTCACCGACTAACCTGTTTTACACAGGTGAGGTTTTGCAGATATTCTGACGGAAAGATAAGATCATACACTTTAAGACGAGTACATATACCGTATGTACCCACAGATGTCCAGGTTCTGATGTAAAATTAAACACCATATATTAACACTCTTAATATTAAACTTTGAGATATATTTTCCAGTTAAATCTTCCACAGTTATTGTAAAGTGTTCCCTTATTTCTTTTCATCAGTATATGTATCCACAATGCATACAGATTATATGGTACGATGAAAATATTGTCTGAGGGAGTTGCGTCCCCTATCGGTGCCATGATCCGCTGGTGGTGGGGAAAAAACCCAGTAGTCGACAGTATTTAGTCGATATTTCAAGGCTCTGGTCACTGCTGACACAGGCTCTTGCTGCCACACATCAGTATATATATACAAGTGTGTATTTGATATGCCCTGTCGGATATCGAGAAAATCAATAACTAACATCGCCAGTAAATGTAGGTTGGCATATATATTGAAATGAAGACAGATACACGGCCCCGTGCAATTAAAACAGGAACATTCGAATGTCAATAAATCATTTTATCATTCCCATTCGTGTAACCTCTCCCCTAGCAACAATGCCGAATTTCCAGCACCTTGCTTGCACTTTGTTGACGACGAGCCTTCGTGATCGAAATATATGGCGTATGAATCTCCCACCTGTTGCCATCATATTGAAATTTTAACTTCAGTACAATAGAAATGGCAAACCTGAAAGACCAGTTCGAGTTCATGTCATTTTTATAGGTGTACGTTATTTCATACCGTTGTGGACTGGATCTTGTTGTGAGATTTCATCTCAGCATTCACAAGACGCGGACATACCTTTGGATCCACACCCGGAACGAAGCTAGAAACAGTCGTTGTTCTGCCAACCCGTATCAACGGGAACCGTAGCTGCCAGCTGGAGTGATGCAACGTGACCGTTTTCGGAGTCTCTACCAGGAATAATAACTCAACGGAATGGATTTCTACTTCACTACGTTTCTACGGAATATTTTGTCTTTGAGAATTTTGAACCATGTACCATTTTGCAACCTTGCGTTATCTACGCTTATCTACATGGGTCATTAACAGTTATTTATAGATATGTCCACGGGACGTGTGATTCTAGGATGTCTATGGGGACGTCTAAATTGGTAAGAAAACATTTGTAATCTGGTGTGGACGATCGGCTGAAAAATGATGTGAAAATCGCCTTTCTGAACATTGAGCTTCGTTGAATCACATAAAGAACCAACAAAACAAGCCAGGGTGTAGACAATCTGTCATTTGGAACAATAGCCACTTGGCATTGTCCTTGAGCAAAACTTTCTTCGTCGCGGGAACCCGACTGTCAGTGAAGATAATGTTGTGACGCTGAGGTGCACACAAAGCCCCAGAACGAGGTGTTGACACAGGGGCTGTTACGTCGTCAGTGAACCGTGTCGGATCTCGCTTGTTCTCTGATTGGGCATTGTGGTCGTATTAGTGGGTTTCTACATCAGCGGCTTCTTCCTGCATCCTTACACACCCTCCTGACGGGATCAGTAGCAGCAACCGCTGACCTGCAGCAGCTCGGATGCTCTGTGAGGTATTCATTTAGACTTTTAGAGCGTGTGTATTGATCACAAGCGTATTGGAACATACAGGAGGAGCTTGACAAGAAGGTACAAGCGATATACGCCAATGCGCCATAAGGTACAGGTGTGGTCGGAGTGAAAGACACATTTGGAATACACAGTGCAGGCTTTTTGTCCAACAGGTGCTCAGCACTTTAACAGTTGAACTCGGGTTTGTTATACGATACATACACGTGTTGTCTTATAACTTATCTTTGTTGTGTGTTGTGGTACTGAACGAGACTTAAAAACTGAGGACATTCACAAGCGGTGTCGTCTGCTTACAGTATTTGCCTTCAAGGTGTAAACTATTCTCGTTTGACCTGACCTCGATCTTCAGTCAGACTTCGAGAGTTTTAGATAGAATACAGACAGGCTGTCGCGTGTGCTTGTCAATGACAGACTGAAGATCTGTTTGCTGTGTGTTTAGAGGGTCTCGTAAACGATTTCTGACTATCATTCACGTGTGTGTACGTTAACAACGACGCTTGCCTGGAGATACTGCATATTGTGTAGATATTTATTTGTTTACAAAACTTGTATAAATTTCACCGACCGGCCTTGGCTTAACATGGCCGATAGTAACTAAATCGGGAGTTTACTTTTTCAAGCGGAATGACACACAGGAGACTGAGGGAGGCAGACGACATTAGTTTGAATGATCTGATCTTCTGGGATGGCACATGAGCCAGTCTCGCCGGAATTAAATACGCTGTGTGGTGCTTTGAAACTTCACGATCCGAACCAATCCATTACCAAGGGACAACTCGCAGACATCTCCCAAGTACTGCGGCTATCCTCGGACGAGCTTGACATCATCTTCGACGCTCTGGACCACGACCACAAGGGGCATATAACATTAGAGGACTTGAAGTTTGAAATAGCGGACAATAAAAGTTCCACTCCAACAAAAAGACGCGTTTCTCAAGGATATACAACTTGGAGGGACAGCAGAGCATACCTGAACTTATCCCCGGAGGAATTAGATGTTGCCGTTTTATCGGAGTCTAGGTGGGTAGATCACGTTGAGTCATTTCTGTCAGAATGTATCAAAAGCATCGCTAACAGATTCAGCATGCATGTTTGTCTAATTATTGAGCTTGAATTTATGTTTTATCAGGACTCTCAGGTACTACAGATTTGTAGTGAGTCACCAAATACTTCAGATATGTATGTAGTAATATGTATTAATAATGACCAGCTGTGTACTACCAGGGAGACTCTATAAGTTGTAGAGTATCCCTGGTACTACTAGTACTGCTGTTTTGCTTTAGTTGCGCCTCCGTACAGTTCGGCGAGTAAATTTGAGTAGAGGCTAAATTTTAAAGTAAACATAATGATTGTTTTTTTACAATTATTGTTTGCATGTGAGTTTGTGACTTTAATCCTTTTATTGCTTGTTCCTCACAACAACGTAAAAAATTAAGGTGACCGAGTTTTTTCGCAATAGTTGTCATTTTGTCAGAGTAGGCTAAGGTTTCGTTTTCATCAGTTCGAATCTGTTTTCCCAGTGTTAGCTGTAACCCAACTGTAATTAATACACGAGCATTATACAAGATGTTTATGTATAACCTGCCATCTGCACGTGGCTGGATGTGGATTGTGTCCTTGGTGTCGTAGATGGTCAGAATGACATTTGCAAGATGACAATAGATTAACCGTTTCGTTATAGATTCTGCCAAAAACGAGTCAGAATCAGCTAATAAATGTTTGCCATGAATTAATACTAAAAAAGTAAACGAACTTAGCCACATATACCCTTCAATACCTGGACTGGTGACTGGCGCAGGGTCGTGGAACAGATGTGTTTTTATGGCATCGCTGATGGGACACCACTGGTTGTAAGTGGTCCTGGGGCCCTAAATAACAAGAAAGTCAGTAATGAGGGGGTACGTCAGGAGTGAGCTGCTTTGAATACCGTGCTCCAGAAAAATACATCACTGAATACGTCGTGTTATGTAACAGGTTTCAAACATAATTGTTCCATGCACAAAGACATTTTATTACCTGTCTGACCAGATATAAGGGCCTGGGGGTCTTCTATACCGGAATACTGTCCATTGAAAAGTGCGGGGTACATTCTTCTATGGATGTGAGGGGTCAAGGCAAGAGGTGGTGTGTGTGGGTGGCTGACTGTCAGAATTCAAACATGTACAAGTCCCTACCGTATAATAACTTTAACTGAGATTGTATTACGCCGCAATGTTTATTGAATGTCAATATAATCAAAATTTCTATTTGGAAATGGAAAATACTCAATCTCTACGATACAGATATAAATGAAGATATGTCACATATATTCAGTGAACATTTATATGACATTTATCTGATATTTTATCAAGTAGATCAATGTTTCGGCGAGTAATGTTGAGTAATAGATAAAACGCCAACAGTGGTGGACAAGGAGATATGCTGAAACATTACTCATTATGTAACGTGACAATTATTGCAGACACGCACAGAAAGGGGCTTGATACAACGGAAAAGCTTTGTCATGGCGTAATTGGCAGATTTCTTTGTGAAAACTTGAGAATGACACCTGAGATTTCTCACAGCTGAACTACACAACCCGCGGGCTATCTCAGCAAGAGGTGTTATCATGCTGAGATTCTATAAATGGAGATTAAATCAAATCCTACGTATCTGTAATGTGTCATTATAACGATGACTAGGATAACGGAATCCAGTTTGTTTTTACTTTCGTTGTATGAATAAACATAAATATTTATATGAATAAATATCATTATTCCTCGCAGTACGTCATAATCAAATATTGAATTGTTATTATGTTAAGTGGAACACTGAAAGACATTATCAGTGATAATGATATGACTTCACAGTAAGTAGCTGTTACATTCAATGAAGTTATACCAGTATGCATGCAGTTTAATGTCAGTATTTAATGTCTTCTATTAATGCCTCTAAAATTAAATTTTAATTGTCTTTATATCTGTATTGTGGCATATTCTATGCAGTAGTGAGTACGTATTGTTTACGGGTCAGTGGGGTAGCCTACTGGTTAAAGAGTTCGCTCGTCACGCCAAAGACCCTGGTTCGCTTCCCCACATGGGTACAATGTGTGAAGCCCATTTCTGGTGTCCCGTGATATTGCTGGAATATTGCTAAAAGCGGCGTAAAACCATTCACACAGGTGCTATCACAATGCAGGTAAAGCAGCATGTTTGATATTCAATGGCAATATTAATATCTTCTGCTGGTGCCCACATATTGAACCCGTCATATCAGTAAAGTGACATATTTCTACGTACTAATGAGTAGTACGTTATTTAGCTGTAACGCTCGACTGCATAATGTTTGAAAACCTACTCATGGAGGTAATGTTTATACTAGAGTTAATATCCATATCATTTTGTTGACAGCTGTGTGAACATTGCTGTACATAATTTGCACAAATATTGTTCCAATTAATTATCACAAACATTTAAAGCTTCTTGTGTAATCATCCAATTCTTTGCAAGGTCTGTTAGTTCAATACTTTGTCTGTGGATCAAACATAATTATTCCTTTTCAACAGAAGCTTTTATTCATGTAATGGTCGTCCAATGTTTTGATACTTGTAAATACGGATTGTAACAACATTCCCAAACATTCCACGACAGCAAGCCACAATTACCGCGTATAAAAATAATCGCTGCACAAACATCTATACAGGAGATTAGTCATTATATAAACTAGACTCAAACCCCTGATCCGAAACAGAAAACGTTCACCAGATATATACATCTAATTGGTTTGACCCACTAATCACCAACCGCAACAGTATCTCTGGGGCTCATTCATCCGATACATTCAACAACCCCGGGCATGAATACTTGGCTTCAGACCTGACATCGACACGTATTAAGTTTAACCCGGTTCGAGGCGCGGCAGGTAGCTGCATTTAAAACTCGGACACAGCCTATCCTTGCATCAAAATTTTGAGCCCAACAGCGATGTCCCTTAGTTGACCCTGAGGCAATACTGTAACCACAAATGAAGCAAGTATAGATTATCCTCAGTTTTGATCTTCCATCTCAATGGGTCTTCTTCCCATGTTTAAATGCAGCTGCATATTTCTGCCATGGTAATTTTCAGAGACAGTGACAGTCTAACGGCAATTTATATACTCTTAAAAAGTAGGGGAACTTCATTTTTGATTTACGATTGGAAAACTTTGGAGATATATCGGAGGCAATCAGTGTTGATATGATAATAATGAAATTTGTATGTGTACGATTTTCATTTTAATACAGAAACAAGCTGGTTAGAAACAAAAACTAACGACTGTGTGTTGCAAGTAATGGTCTTCTTGGAAACCGTCGAAGTCAAGAATGAGACCCTTTGCACGTGTATGGGGCTTCTGCGTTGTGCACGTGCATACAATGCGTTGTGTGTAGGGGTGGTGATAAAGAGAAATGTAGGTGCGTTCATAAGATGTCTGTCTTTGAAAAGTTAGTTTACGCTTATATTTCCTATCCAAATTTAAAGTTCAGGTTCCCCTACCTTTTTGAAGAGTATAGATAAAAGTGTATGCCATGTTCGAGAGTGTGTTAATATCCCGTGTGAAAGGAAGGCAAACTTTAAGCTAATATGACCCTAATTATACATAAATCTCATAAACGCAGAAAGACTGGACTAGGAAGTGTTACACGCAGTGATATAGTTTTCAAAAGTAAGTTTAAGTCAAGTTTGTAGCACTTATAATTTACCAAAGGACATTTAAAACATGGTAGCAGCCTAAGACTTTCAATAATCTAACAGAAACCAAGTTATAGTCCGGATTGTTGGGTTTCCAGAGACGGGATGTGTTACTGTACCAGGAACACTGACAGATGGAGGGACATGAGTGATGAGGAAATAAAATACGAATGTAATGGCTGCTGCTTTATAGTTTTAAAAGATTTTTCATTAAGTCATGAATTATGACCGGGGTTCGAGGACCAACTTCGGCGATTTTCCGTTACAGAGTATTGTCAGGTGGAAATGTTACTTTATAAGTGATACTCTTCCTATGCTGTATTTGACGACTACAGTTAACTCTGTTGTTCAAATGTTCTGTAAATCCGAATTTCTGTCCCATCGGTCACGTTACTCTTATATGTCGAGGTAGCCTTGTGGTTAAAGCGCTCGATCGTCACGCCAAAGGCCCGTGTTTGATTCCCCACATCGTGAGAAGCCCATTTCTGGTGTCCCCGCCGTGATATTGCTGGAATATTGCTAAAAGGGGCGTGAAACTAAACTCACTCACTCACTCACTCACTCATATATGTGTTGTATGGGTGCAACGACAGAAGGTCTCGGGAAGTGGTCAGTACAAGATGGTCAAGACACACGGGGCAGTGTTCAACCTGACCACATCGTCACTCCTATCTTTCGTCACTTCCAGTACACCGCATTATGCTTTAACATTTGTGTGTTGTTGATATAATTTAGCCCATAACATCACGAGTGCCGATAATAAAGGGCCCCTTCCCTTCAGTACAAAATACCTTAAACGTGTTTGAACCTAAACATGACACAGTAGGCATAAACATAAGGGATTAGACAGGTCGTTAACGATAAAGGCCAACGTGACGGTTACGGTACATTGAATAGGCTAATTACCACATGAAAATCCTCTGACATTCCTCCGAGAACGTCTCCCTCCATTTATGGCTACAGTGTATACATTCATCACGGGCCATGAACCATTGAACAGGCATACAAAATGCCACCCCCATGTTCATATAGAGCTGACACGGACCAGTAGTGAGTGAGTTACCTCCCTTAGCACAAACAGGATCCACTGGTCGTGATTTCGAATCCTTGTATATCACCGTTTACAATTTTGTTTTGTCAGAGCTGTAATGTCACGTGAACCCTCATTAAAGCAGATGCACACATAAATACAATGCACTGTATGTGCAACGCATTACTCAAGAACATGTTCTTGGTCTGGATGACGAGGAAGACAAATTCTGCACATAAGTTTATTTTCATAATAACAGATTCTTTCTCTCTCGGCAGACATTCGATCAAACATATGGCATTAAAGCATAGTTAAGAAAAAGATCAAGGCGGTATCGATAAGGCCGGAATCGTACCAAATACCGCACTGGTCGATCTGAAATACATGAATACACGTATTTAATGACCGACGCTATGAGAAACATTTATGAAAACAATTAGAAACTTCCCGTCATGCCTCCAGCTCTGACCAACACGGACAGGCGATTGTGGTTTTGCTCAGGGCGTTAAAATGTTAATGGCGGGATTAACCAGTTAGCGCACTGAAGCTACTTGAAGGCTCATTCACTGTACCACGTTCGGTGTTAAGAGACGTGAGAAACGTCCAAGCAGTGATTTAATTGCCTCACGCTGTCTAAATCCAACCTTTGTCTGTCAAAGAATGTTGAAACCTTCAAAGAAAAACCGCCTTGGGAAATTAGGTCTTCAAGAAATTTCCAGTCCCCAAGGAGTGAGTGAGTTTATTTTTACGCCGCACTCAGCAATATTCCAGCTATATGGCGTCGACCTGTAAATAATCGAGTCTGGATTGGACAATCCAGTGATCAACACATGAGCATCAAACTGCGCAATTGGGATACGATGACATGTGTCAACCAAGTCAGCGAGCCTGACCACCCGATCCCGTTATTCGCCTCTTACGACAAACATGGGTTACTGAAGATCAATTCTAACCCGGATCTTCAGGGTTTTAGTCACAAAGACGTAGAATGAGATGGAATATCATAACTCAGGTAGATTTAAATTGGCCAAGTAGTGTTCTCAAGACTGTAACGACCTATCAGCGAATTCTTGTGTAATATCAGAGGCCATATATTGGTGTATTTGCTGGTAGATTATTTTCTGAAGCTATATCAGGGAAGCTGGCCGTCCGTTTGCGTTACTCCCTGTTCGTACACATTGACATTTGCCGAGACTTAGCGTCAACGTGATTGACGGCGTGCAGGGATGAGGATGTTTGTCAGATGGGCGAGAAGCTTGCGTGTGTCACTGTGTAAACACGTGCAGGAGAGAACAGTTGGGAACCTCGGGATGTGCATGTGCATTAATAGACCCAGTCTAAATGTCTGATTGTCAGTTCAGTTCAGTTTGTTCTCAGCTAAAAGTCACCAATGCTGGTACAAGGGTATATATCTACAACAAATAGAATTTATTCAATAAAGATCAGGATGGCAGCATACTTAAACTATTGAGACCCTTTCACTCAACAGTGTTTTCAAATGTAGAGTTAGCCTTGCACCCAATTGGCAGCACACAAAGTCAGCCATCAAACCCACTCAGCCACCGAGGCTTAGATAGGTGCCTGACTCTGTGAGTCGTTACTTTACTAGAATCGGTACTTTACTGAGAAAGTGTAATCCCAAAGATAACACATCTTACATTTGACCACTTTCTAAATGGCATTGTGTATTCACAGTATTGGAAACGCAGCCAGACAGGGTACTTGCTTTATCGCTGTGTTGGTTGTCATACTGCGTTTTATTTTTTCAGTTTTAATGCAAGTACGTATATGTAAACTTATTTACTGTTCTGTTACAAAGGACCAACAGGTTCTATCAATACACGATCGTTTATAACCTTCATCGCACTGGCTCGAATAAGTCCCAATGACAGATTCACATTCTCACACTACAAAGGGAGATAACTCTGGGGAGATGATATCACGATCAATAACATATCACGCCATGTTGCTATAGTAACCTGTGTGAAGTGCAACAGGTGTTGTAAACCGACGAATACCGACATACATAAACAGAGACTATCTTCCTAATGCGTAACCGTGTCCACGTGACGTCAGCAACGTCAGCAACGTCATGGTAGACTGGCATCGAATTTGATGTTGTTGACAATAACAAGAAACCTTGTTATCAAACAATGGTCACACCCACGTAATATGTACTTACAAGACATATAATTATATCTCAACAAAACAGGTAATTCTGTATATTCAACATAGGAGACAAGAGTCCATTGAAAGCATGTTTTAATACTTACAGATGATATCACTGTTTAATAAAATGGGCTGATATTACAAAGTGTATAATAAACAGAGTGCAAGCATTTCTACAATAAAGCCAACAAGCAACTCTGGTGCTAAGATGATGTCACGCGGCTTTTTTTCGTCTTAGGGTATTTGGAAACTTTGTGGCGCTGAGTTCTAAAGAAAAGGCTGTTGTATGATATTGTACTTATATTGTTGTATGATGTTGTATTACTAGTCCCCCGTCTAGTGTGTCTGTGGTTGTATTATTTTGTTAAAGTCAATTGGATTATGATGTGGATCGCGTAGATGCCTGTCTGTTTACACTTGACACTAAACTATTGTATTCATACGCCCGATCTTACATTTGACGGTGATTTTCCTAGTTGGATGAAATTATTTTTGAACAATCAAGTACTGCATAAAATACTGAACGAGGTCACAGGCAATATACATTTCAGTAAACTCGCATCAGTTCACGGTATACCAGAACTCTTTTCTCGCTCCATATCACGCGTTACACGTGATCTCGTTTAGTTTTGTACATATGCAAATAAAACTCAAATATGCACGTATTGCATAAACATCAGTCTTTGCTCATGTGTCAACTGTGCTGGACGGCTGATTGCAGTTTGATCTCCGCGCACCTGCATACAAACGCGTTTCTATCAACGACAGATGTACATGTTCAACAATGGAAGCGTGCTTAAATATTCAAATACATGTACTGTAACTGATATGAACAGAAGATTCATAGCCACGATATTTAAATATCACATTTACAAAGCATTCAAATCATACGAATTGCCAGAGGTGATTGCAATATGTATATTCAGACATTAATATTGTTTTGCATCCTAAATCCTATATCATATGTCCCTTTTCTGATATCTTGAATTCCGAATTGTGTTTCGCATGCTCTTTGCTGCATTCTATAGGTTGTATTATGTATGGTGTAACCTAACCTATCCTACGTTGTATCCTTAATCCTATAAAGATCCTATAACTTGTACCCTAAACTCAAAATGTTGCATATGATACCCTAAATCATCTACATTACATGCTGATAGTATATACGTTGTACCTTACATCCTGCATCTTGTACCCTATATCCTAGGGTACATTCCTTGTGTTGGTGTACCTTGTATCCTGTGTAACATCGTGTGTATTGTGTCCGCTATTTTGTATCGGAGTATCTGTTGTGTTATATCCTGTATGTTCAATCTCTATGTTGTACCTTATCTCGTGTATGTTGTATACTGTATGTTGTACCCTACATCGTGTGTGTTGTATATTCAGCCAGGAGCAGGTGATCGAGCTGTACCAGGCTCTGCACGCCAGCGAGAACCCAGAGCTTCTGACTCAGTTCGAGAACATCATCCTGGGGGTCATCAAGGACATCCGGGTCTACCAGCAGGAGAATGACAGGCTGGAGAAGACCTACAAGAGGTGAGCGTCACGTCGCCATGGATACACAGAAAACCTTTCGAGGCTTCAAAGTGTATATGCTAACAACGACTAGGCTAACTGGTTTCAATGAAATCAAATGCAATAGGTATTAATGTTATCAGTAAGACATACCGATGTCAGATTGTCAGATATCTTGGACAATGCATTTTATCAGATGTTGGTGTTGTCAAATATTTAGAACACCTTACTTTGAAGCTGTACGTTGACAGAACAGCATGTTCTACAAAACAGATTTTTTGTCAAATGCCAAGGACAATGTGGCTTACCATGTACACGAAGAAATACTCCACTGTATGAAGATGATGACGATGCGACGATTCACTATTGAACCTTCTATCTCGGGAGATGGTGAAATGGTCTCTTTTAAAAGCTGGTTCAGTTTAAAGATTATGCGTTACATGAACTATCACCACACGGCTATTCCACTCCTGCTACTTAATTTACTTCACGGAGTTTATACGAAGTTGATTAAGATATGTCCCAGCCTAAAATGGGTGAGGATGCGGGGGTCATTGTTTTTGTTCTCCGAATAAGAGAAATCCTAGGATGTGTCAATGCATTTCTGAAAGTATCGGTTGTTACGTTTTTGCGAATTTTGATATCTACACATGTCTGGTAATATCTGTTAATGGCTGCTGATATCTATTTTTAGTATTGCCTGTTGATATCTGTTTTGTTTGCTTATATATGTTGATGTGTGTTGACATATGTTTATTTCTGCTAATGTCTGTTGATCTGGTCTTTGTTTACTATTATCATTTGATATATGTTCGTGGCTGACACTGTTTCTGACGTCTGCAGGGAGAAGGAACAGCATGAACGCCATCTGCGGAGTCTGGAGGATGAGATGGATGTCCACACACAGAAGGTGGAGGAACGAGTTAAAAAGGCGGTACGTATGCTCACTAACTAACTTCATGACGACACTCATACATTTTGTACAGATGTCAAACTAGGTATTACCAAATGTAAAGGTCTCTGGAACCAGGTATCTATCGTGAAACCAAAACCCATATGGTAAACAATCGCGTCCTCGGTCGCGACCAGAACGCGAATCTGTCGCGTCAAAATCGCCACCGAACGTTTTTAACATAGAAGTTAAGATCACGCAATCCAAGCAATGTGGTTACAAACAAAAGACGACATGACCTTTTCAACATGAGGGTAACTGTATATAAACTTTAGGACTGATTCGGTAAATGAAAAGTGATAAGGGGATATGATGTTGTGATCACAGTGGGTCAGTGAGTATGGTTTTACGCTAATGCACATCCAGGTGACTTTGTTATTTCTTTACGAATGAGTGATTTTGGTTTAACGCCACTTTTGGCAATATTCTAGTAATAGGAATGGGCTTCACACATTTTACCCATGTGGGGAATCGAACCCTTGCTTCGGCGTCGCGAGCGAACACCTTAACCACATGGCTACCTCCGCTACTCTTTGTGATCACAGTCTAGTTAAGATCTATTCAGTGTGATAAGCGATGATTGAAAGTTGCATTCCAAACATTTCCGCCTACGGGTTGGAATTACATCGATGTTTATTTCCCGCCTCCTGTTGTCTGTGTATGTCACGTGATTGTTCCTTTCACTCTCATGCCATATGTGACAGAAACTCAATAACCATACTTTGTAAAGATTACCAATGACCTATATTTGTTACATATTTTTATTCTGTGAAGATAAATTCCTTTCGCCACTATTAAATAGGTACCCCTATGACATGGTATTCGCGCCAACCCAGTAAACAGACCCTCGACCCGATTAATTCCCACATTTAATGCTGAGAACATGTAATAAATAGGCATGGCCGTGTACATTAAAAGCTATTTATTCAGTACCTCGTCGTTGTAATAACCTGTAATGACATATTCAATATATGTTACATTGCACCATTCGCGACAATAGAGACAAATCAATATGCATCGACATGTATGGGGATTGTTATTGTTACTTGACGCGACCATTAAGATTAATATAATTCTGGAAGTCAAGGCTGAAGGCATTAATACCTATCATGCTACCTATATATGTATCTGTCAATATTTTCAAGTGTCAACGTAAGCACAAAGTCACTATTTCTCAACTTATAACACGTACACACTGTCAGTTTCATTTGAATTAGAAGTCAAGTAGGCGCGCGTCTATGAATGCTGTATGTATTCGTCAAAATATACCACGTTTCAGATAAACAACAATATGCGAAGTATGATCACGATTCGCACTTAACTGACATACCTTGTTTTATTCTTATCAAAACGAAATGTAGCTTATGGCTAATATTGCAAACTTATGAACGATGTCATTTAAAAAGTGGTCAAATGTAACATATGTTACGTTGCACTGTTGCAACCATATTCGTTTGAAACAACTAAAGAATGGGTGTTAAGGTGTTTAGATACATTCGGGACAACGGGTAGTTATAGACGTACCGCAGTTCGTTGTTAATTTGGTGTTTTGTATACTGGTAAACAGTTTGTGTACGTTTAAACTAAATACAGTAAACGTTCTATAATCCTGGACACATGTTTATCTGAAATTTACTAGAAACAATATACACACGTATAAGTATATTGGTAGGGGTATTTAAAAGTCACAGGGAAAATGCTTAGGCAAAGTGGACAGAAAAGGGGATTTGTAACAATAAATATTCGCTTTTATATTTCGCAAATATTTAATTATTAGTTGGTAAAATGTAGACTAGGATTGCTAAATTTGATGGTAAATGAAGGAAGAAAATGTCCATTCGATGGAATCAAAGAATCTGTCCATTGTGCAAAGAACCAGTAGGAAACGAAATTCATTTCACTTTTTTATCTGTAAATCATATGCTGACATTAGAAAGAAATATATACCAGAGTATTATCTGTCAAAACCCTCCGGTGTAGCTTTTTAATCATTATTATGTTCGTGCACTGAACAAAATGTCATAAATCTGTCATTGTTTATAAAACATGCCAGTACGTTAAGAGATGAATTGATGAAAAATTAGTTACAAACAACTGACTTGTAAAAAATACTTATGTATAACTCTGTACACTGTATGTGGGCCGGAGACCTTGAATACAATGAAATGCTTGTCTGTCTTGTCGAATACGAAATATTCAGTTCGTTATAAAGTCGCTAATACAGGTTAGAATCAGACATACTTGGACTGCCAATCTGCCCTGGCGTAACACCCCTTTGAAGTAGACCACTATTGCGATATGAGAGTTGGTCATTCGACAAGGTCAGTTTCACTACATATGACCACAACAGACACAAAATCAGTCAAGTCAGCAGATTTCAGCAGGTCACATTCTTTCGGTGTTTTCGTCATCAGATCGATATTGAAATGTCCCTCGAGAAACTGCACGAAGGACGGTTTCCGTTCACTCGTCCGCGTGTTGCACGTTCAATATGTGTTGTATAGTCCCCATATTGTATTAGATAACGGGCATTGAGTCAATTTATATAAGCGTCTTTTAATAGTTTTATGAACAAAGTTATCCTATAACCGCTTGTCTTATTAGTGTGATAAACAAATCCGATAAACTTGGTATCATGACGAAATAAATAACTTTATGCAAATGAGTAACTACTTTCAAGCTCTACATATTAATGTGATGCCTTCTTTCTCAGTGTAATAATGCCTCACATTCGCAATATATAGGGTTATGGAAACAAATCACAGAATATTATATCATTTTATTCATAATGCATCTTTTCACGAATACAGTTTGCCCCACATCTGACAATTTGTCTTAAAGTTAATTACGTCTCTCTGATCGGTCATATATGTATACATGTTAGAAACAGGGACGGTGGGGTAGCCGAGTGGTTAAAGCGTTCACTTGTCACGCCGAAGACCCAGGTTCGATTCCCTACATGGGTACAATGTGATTCGCCCATCCCTGGTGTCCCTCGTCGTGATATTGGTGGAAGATTGCTAAAGCGGCGACAAAAACATACTCACTCACTCGTAAAGAAATAGCAACACTTACACAGACTAAAAGTGGAGACCCTTTTAAAAAGTTTATTGAGTTAATCAAAGTTTCACCAAACTGTTATGATTAAAGAGATGTACATTACAGGGTTGTGTCTAAAATACATGATTACGTGTCAACTGTTTCAAAGTGGGATAATCATTATCAAGCTTTCTCAACTTAAACGTACCATGCAAACGTCGACATTGTAATTCGATTTGGTCTGAACATATAAAATAGTCGGTCAAGGTAAACAATGCATGTACAATCGTCTTTAACACATCAAAGCGCCGCCAGCAGGACATCAAATGCGCCGCCTGATAAGGATGGTGTACATAGCTCTACCTGAGCGATGGTGACTCATGCGGTAGCACCAGCTGTTGCCGAATCGTGTCAGTTTCAACGGCAAACTCGCCACTTGTATGGATTTTCATCGCAAGAATGCAGCACACACCTTATCAATCTATAAACCTGTTTTGTTCGTTTATAAAGAATGTGGGGCTGACATTATGTATTTGTACATATGTCAGCTGTGTTAAGATTCAGTGTTGTGATAATGGTATTCACTAAAATAGATATCACTAAATGATTGGAAGTCAGGTCATTTCTAGAAAATATTTTTTGTATAGCTCGGTTACGCAAAATCATACATGCAAGCGTAATTTTAGAAATACTTAATATATTCATATGTATAATACTCTATTATAATTTTTGTTGTAAGTTTTAACATCTTGGTTACATAAAAAAGCGTTTCCTCTGTAAATCTTAAAGGACGAAAACAACCCACGTGGAAAGGTATATTTATTTATTTTAACCAGTATTGAATGTGGCCATCCCTATATGTCTGGACAAACGTTTCATGTGCCAACACCGTTGGTCACGAGGAAAGAAATTAATCAGGTTAAAACTACAAATATGTTAGGGACCGTTCATAATTTATGGCTGGGTGTGGGGTGTGGGGTGTGGGGTGTGTGTGTGTGATGATGATTTTAAGGAGGGGTCACCCATTTTGGTCTGGGCAGCTAGGGGGGTCATCAATTTTGTATACACGTTCTCAGCAAATTTTGTGCAAAATATGTTTAAAATTATGCTTAGAAATTATGGGGTTGTAATTGATTTTGTACATGACATGCAGGGGGGTCACTTATTTTTTACATACATTTTAGAGGGGATCATTCACATTGTACATGCTTCTCCATAAAAATCATCATCACCCCCTAGCCATAAATTATAAATTGTCCCTTAATTACTTAGGGAACCCGCGCTGTTTAACCCTGTTCTACTCCACGATGGGACAAGTGAGTCTGACTGAAATCAGCCACAATGCCAAGTTCAATTACAGACGTGCGTGAAACAGTTCACTGAGTTCTTAAAACAGATCCGGTCTGTATCAATGAAACCAATTTCCTAATCCGGGCGATATATTGGGAACACACAACCAGGTATGACGAATCAGATTGTACGAAAAAAGTACATCTTACAGAAAAATTTCTTCATGAAAACTCAAGGTTCGTTTGGAACTCCTTGTCACTTCGTTGTATTGTGTTGTTGTACCGAAACGTCCTTCTTCCCCAACAGGAGATGGAAAGATCCGACCAGGAGAAAGCGGAGTTGAAACAGTTGATGGACGCCGAGATAGCCATGTTGCAGCAGAATCTAAAGAGGATGCAGAGCGTGAGCACTCTCTATATGTCTTTTTCAATACATCTAAACCATGTGCATACGGAAACAAAAACAACTGTACCTTTAATCCATGGAAGCATTTCAACTTTCAACGTTCTGTGCCGTTTCTTCCCTTCACCCTGCCAGGATCCGGTAGTCGTTGGTTCAAATAGGTTACAATTTTCCCTGGTTATGAACTTCAGCACCATAATTGTGCTCCTAGATTTCACCAAAATATAAAGTGATCTAAATCACTGGGCTTTCCTCTCACACTTACCTGAGCTTATTGATGACAGCAAAATGTTATCCTCCCTATTTATATGCCAATATTCAGTTAGTCTTCATCCCATCTGACTGATCTAATATGTCTGTTCTAGGAGGGTATCGATAAGGTAGGCCGGGAGACAGAGGAGTATATGTTAAGTCTGAAGACGCGTCTGGAGGAGTATCAGCTCGAGAACAGACAGCTTAGGAGTGAGCTGACAGACACACAGACCAACCTGGCTCTGATCAAGGGGGAGCTGGTCTCCACGAAGCAGCAGTTCCAGGAGAAGAGTCGGGAATTAGACGTGTAAGCTTAGATGGCCATTATGATAACGTTTTGATAAAAAGGTCTCATAATCTTATAATAAAAACAATAATGATGATGATGATGATGATGATGAAGTTGACGGTGATGATGACGGTGGTGGTGATGTCATTTGAACGAGAATTAATAAAAAACAACATGACCTCCGCTACTTCTACTACCACTGCGGCTTCCACTACTAATGATGATTATTTTGACGATAATGATGATTATGATAACAATGATGACGTGAAATAATACATGGACTTTATGCTTCAGAGAGAGGACGACAGTGATGGACTGCATCAGAGAACAAGATAACCTCACTCGTCAGCTTCACATATTACAGTGAGTACAGTATTAACAGGCGACCATACATGTTCAGGTTCGAGATGCCGTTATCATGTCATTGTACATTCGCGTCGTTACAAAGTTCGGCATTTCCCCGCGGGATGTATTAAATTTGTGTCTTATCTGCCAACACGTTACGTGGGAAACAATTACTTATTCAGTAAAACAAATCTGAAACGACTATCTGCAAGACGAGATAATTGTGTCTTTGTCAGGATATTATGTCAGCTATGTATCTCTAGCTTTAACAAATGTATCTGGTCCATAATAACCACTTATTGGGCATTGTGATGTCACTAAATACAATATGCGATAAGATAAAGAATGTTAAATAATGGTCATTACCCGCGTTTACAGATGGTTATTGCACGCGTTAGTTGTATCTATCACGTGTGACATGGAGAGATCGTTGAAATGAATAGTGCACATACAAATAATCTTAGCACAATTAGAAAACCTAATTTTCATTAATGTTTGAAATGTGTATCAAAGGTATTCGTAATTGACAGAGCTCATTTTCGAACCACATATAACACGCTTAGCAGTTTTAATATATTTAAAGCATTTTCCCATATTTCAGCGAGACCAACAAGAAGCTTCTCGACGCAAACGATAATCTGCGAGAATGCCTGGAGACGTCTCAAAATAAACTGACTTGCCATAAACGGACGCTGTCCAATGATGTACGTATTAAGATGATGATGATGATGTTGTTGTTGATGACGATGATGATGTTGAGTATGATGATGATGATGTGAGGATGATGATGTTGATGTTGTTGATGGCGATGATGAGGACGATGATGATGGTGATGATGACGACGACGATGATGCCGACGATGATGTTGATGTTGATGATGATGATGTTGTTGATGGTGATGTTGTTGTTGTTGATGACGATGATGATGATGATGATGATGATGATGATGATGATGATGATTCCCCTGTTCTGTGTTTCAGTCTGCGGCCAGTGGACGCAGCACATCGCCCCGACCCCCCAGGAAAGGCTCTGTGATGAGTGACTACTTCGAAAACACCTGGTGAGTAACCTTGGATTAGACCTTAAAGTGGTCAGTAATAATCGATAACTTACACAACGCCAAGATCCCTCCCCACGAAGTGACACATGCATGACATTATACCACGGACAACAAACGAATCACTTATGGATACAAGTTTCATCATGCTGATGTTTCTTTTCTCTATACAAATGCAGTGTCTTAGTTTTCTGAAAAGTCTGCCACTAAACTGAAAGTTCCTGCATTTCGGTCACTGTAAGCAATTGTCTGTCTTGACTTACCAAACGAGTGACCAGCGAACCATCAATTGCTAATTTCAAAGGTCACTACTGGGACTATGAGGATCCTGTGTAGTAATGGAATAGTGTAGGGTACACTACTGTCAGGTTAAATAATGATTTTAATTGCAGGACCTGTATTTTGTCCTGACAAAGATAAACTATGAATATTATTGAGGGTCCCCTTTTTCTGCTTAGGTTCTATACATTTGAGGTACTCGAGGCACATTTCTGCATGTCATATTTTGTGGATGTTATCTTAAACTTCCTGAGATCATTTTATTCAGGTTTAAATTTATTATTTAAATTCTGAAAAGCATGACATATGTAAGAATGTTTGCTGCAATAATGACCAGTGCCACTTTCCATAATGAGTCCTATGGCCATGTTGCCTCAACAGGCTACAGTATTGTCTTAGTGTGGAGAGAGTTTTCAGCATGTAAGGGAGACAATCCATATGGTGGAAGCCGTTTTGAATGAATTTGTTTGAAACATGTCAGTGTTGAATAAACAATTTTGGGGAATATAATTTGTTTATATTTTAGTAAATTTATGAATGTTTGTTACCGCGGTTTTGAAGCCTCGCATCAAAGTGTTCCAGTTCTGTTTGTATCGTGACATACGACTCTCTTGCCATCTACGATTGTTATGATTGAATGAGAGTGACCTCCCTTTTCAGTCCTCCACAATACCTCCGAGCTGTCAGTGTCAACTCCTCGCTGGCCGAGGAGCTGTGTGAATCGGAACACAATGTGATGCAGATGACGACAGTGTCTCCATTACGACGATTCCGGCACTTGGAGAGCTGTGAAGATGAGGAAATAGGTAAGCTGAATAGCATCGATCCATGCCAGCACTTTGGGTGTGGGCGTGGTGTTGACAATATTTAAGGTTTGGTGGCGTAAATAAGGGCGTCCTGCAGAGTGAGTGAGTGAGTTTTACGCCGCTTTTAGCAATATTCTAGCAATATCACGGCGGGGGACACCAGAAATGGGCTTCACACGTAATGAGCATGTGGGGAATCAAACCCGGGTCATCGGCCACTGGGCTACCCCATCACTGCGTCCAGTAGACGTGGTCGTAGTGTAAGAGTGTGTTTCATGGGTTGAAGAGGTATCATCTGGTTTCTGAAAATGTGTGTGCCTGAATCACTTAGTTCCTGTGACTAAGTTCCTACTAAGCACATGGTTACTCCTTTACCATGACATTACGTGTGAAGGAAGTCGTAGAGAATAGCTTGCTATAGCTAAGAGGATAATATTGGGGGGATGTGAAATAAAGACAGAATCTAGTTCTCACCGAGAATGCTTAAATTTTGAAAAGTATATTTTATGTGAATTTAATAAAAAATCCAAGCATGCTAACTCACACCTAAATATATTATAGCACCAATTTAGCAGCATTAATCCCTTTCATCCGTAAATCCACTTTGAGAAAACACCTTTGCGTAATGTCTTCAACTGTTCCAGATGTCCCAAGTACTTACGCCATGTATGATCATATAAATATCATACGAATATGCTTCTCTACTGATGAGCTTGTCACCATTAATGGCATGCATGAGTCATTAGTCTGGATTAAAGGGGTTCAATTGTATATATTCCAGCAAGAGATCACTGCAATCCTTGCAAACAAAGCATCAACAACGTAGATATGGTCAGTTATATATTTTCAGTCGTGGGCTTTTCAGACAGTGGCCATTCCACCATGCGCGACTACAACGAACCTGACACCGAGTCGGAGTGTCTGAGTTACGAGAGTGATGTCCGGTCACTGCCCCGGAGGCCGAAGAGGTTGAAGCCAGGCAATATGTTGGAGGAGGAGGTGAGTGATCACCCTGAGAGGTTGTCATGGTTACCAGAATGATTTTGATAAAATTCCCGAAAAACTAAATGTCAGTAGAAAATAAATATTGTTCTGTGTTGCGGAAGTTGTAAGTTTGTATTAAAAGTGTAAATGGGCTTGTTGGGATATATGGGTTTCCAAATGATGGTGTATCGTTCCCCTGAACAAACGATATGATATCACTCTAGGCTGTGCTATCCGTCTAGGCATTTCAAAAAGCAGCTACAGCATCACATCACTAGGTAACTTAAATACAGTCTAAAGCAACCAAAAATGTGACCCCTGTGACCACCCAGGGGCCACCAGTGTTTAGTCGATGACCTGAGTCTCGTTCACCGAGGGCATCACCTCTGGGACCGCATACCTCTCCTGCTTTAAGCGAAGACTGTTCTCGTGCTAAGGTCATGTTGTGCATCTGGACCCAGTAGTAGTCTTATATAAATTCATCGGGCCTCTGATTCCATGTATCTTGAAGATCTGTTGATGTCATTTCAGGAGTTCGACTCCCACGACGAGATGGAAACTGACGCAGAGACCACCATAGAGAGATCAGAGGCCGAAATGTTTAAGAACATGCAGAGTAAACGTCTCAGCTCCTCCGGAAGTCGAGGGTCACGTGGTAGTCTCCGATCTTTGCCGACCAGTGACACCGGAAATACCCGGCCTCCGAAAGGAAATCGCGGATCCACAAGACGACAGATGCAGACATCTCCCGAACAGGTAACTCGATAGATAACCATGACGACAGTGCGCCAGGAAATTAAACCGCAATGGCGGTGTCCACTGTCGTCAAAGACTCATGAGTTTTAAATTTGCCCTTGAATATTTGCTGACGTGGGTATTGTAGCCATGACTAACCATTTTAGTGTTCGACTCTTTAATGCCATCTTCATAAGGACAGGGACATAACTTTAAAAATCCAGTTTGTCTAGTTCGGCAATGATGGAAAGTGTCCTTTTGTAGTCAGTTACCTCCCTTGCCAAAGTATGACGTTGAAATCTAGCTTTCTCACACACCAATATCTGTCGCACAGCTACTCAGCGTCAAGGTGTCCAAGGAGCCGGAGAGGATGTACAAGGTGGTCCTGGCCGGAGATGCTGCGGTCGGCAAGTCCAGCTTCATCATGAGACTGTGCAAGGGCAAATTCGTCAACAACCTCAGCTCCACACTGGGTATGTTCAATGTATCTGTTGTGGTAAAGCTAACATCATCCATGGCTTAAACAATACATATTACTGTGGGTGGCCTAAGGTGACCGACTGGGAATTGGGTCCAATAGGCTTTGGGTCCGTCGATTCGTGGGTTCGAATCCCGGATGAGCCTAAGATATGACGCATGTTGGGTTGGCACACACTTTTACTCACTAACTCGTCTTAAGTTAAAGTCTTAAAAATCGTTACTCCGGGATTTTCTCCCTTGATAAGCTTGTACACTATGATATAACATAGATAAAGTTCATTAAGGGCTGTACTAAAATCATTCACGCAATTACTCATAACAAAGGTTACTGCTGTCGTTCGGGTGTTGATGGGGAGGTGGGGTAGCCTAGTGGTTAAAGCGTTCGCTCATCACGCCGAAGACCCGGGTTCGAATCCCCACATGGGTACAATTTGTGAAGCCCATTTCTGGTGTCCCCCGCCGTGATGTTGCCGGAATATTGCTTAAAGCGGCGTAAAACCAAATTCAGTCGGGTCTTGATTATACGAAATGTTGAGTATCCCCATTGTTTATGTTGTCACAGGCGTGGACTTCCAGACCAAAGTGATTGAAGTTGATGGCCGGACCATCGCCCTTCAGCTTTGGGACACCGCTGGACAGGAAAGGTCAGTTATTTGGGATTGTGGCCAGTTTCAAGGAGAAGAAGTCAGTGACTGTATATTCATTAACAAGAGGGAATGGAACATTGCCATTTACCAGCAGCTGTTGTTTCAAGGCGTCATTATCAGTTATCATCCAGATTGACTCAAGCATCATAATTCTTTACCTGCCCCATACATAAATATCCTTTTCTGATTGACTGAACGCTCTTCTACTATTTTCAATGTACCGGCTTACAAGGGAGTACATTTTCTATATGACATGCTCGGAATGCCGAACTGTTGGAACTCATTTGGTACTTCGTGTTAGTAATGCTTTATCTCGAATAATTGAGTTATGTATTATGTACGGAAATTACCGATATTTTGCGAATGCAAATCGATGGAAGGGAGATAACTCTAAATTTATTTTTTCGTGTCGTCAGCCGTTGTAGGCTTATTGCCTTATTTGTGATTCGATACCCGCGCTCCAAACATTTCAAAATTAACATTGAGGTGGTCGGTAAGATAAATACGTTGTTTACTGGTCCCTCGGGGACCTAAGGCTCAGGGAACATAAACAAACGCAGAGGGTACATCAACCCATGTCCCCCTCGGGACCAGTGAACAACTTAATCAATATATCCTCACTCACAATCTTATAATCTAAACTTACTTATTGTATTTCCTATACACACAGATTCCGGAGTATCGCCAAGTCCTACTTCCGGCGTGCCGACGGCGTTCTGCTGCTGTATGACTGCACCTACGAGCGTTCCTTCCTCAACGTCCGCGATTGGGTGGAAGCTGTGGAGGTTTGTAGACAAGTTAGTTGACCCCCATGATACTAGATGTGGCCTGTCTTCTGTCCTGCTTCGTAACTCTGTGCTACAAGGGATGCGACCATTTAATATTCTGGGAAGGGGCCATGGGCTTCACAATTAATATGTGATTTGTTCCGTTCTGAAAATTGTGTGTAGTGGACGAAATATATTCGCATTCTCCTTCCCATCCTAGAATAATAATATGTCGGCCCCAAACTTAGCTTTTGAGATGTTTTAAAAAGTTTCCCTCCGCAAACGCAGATCTGCGATTATTACACTGTATACGAAACGCCACCAAGAAGCTGTATATTACTATGCTATGTTTTTCGTTAGAAACCAAAAAGAATTGGTTATTCATGAATCCGCACAGTTTTGTTACGGCGGCGTAAAATAATATTGGCACTGTTACTCACATGATGCTTATTTGGTATCTACCAATCTTGTATCTGGGATTTACACACGGGCGAATCAGATTCATGAGGGAGAACATCCCGAAGTGGTACACCTTGTAAATGCTTACAATTTTGATTAAACCAACGAACAGCATAAAATAACCACGATCAGATTCTCGTCGTAATTCGACCCAATGACAAGGAGATCCCACCATAGATAAGGGAGGTAACTCTGTACAGTGTGATCTTTGACCTCTTGTCCTGTGCACATAGTGAAATCATAAATCAGGATGTTTGTAGCTAATTAAGTTTGATAATAGATCCTGTAGTTTCTGCTGTTAAGTGTATTTTTGTTTGTCACCGAGTTCCACGATAAACCATGATTCCGTTTCGGTTACTGGCATCTCAGGATGGCGCCATGAAGAAAATACCTATCATGTTCTGTGCCAACAAGACCGACATCAGGGACGAGATGCAGCAACAGGGACGACGAGTTGTCCGATTTGAAGACGGGTCAAGGCTGTCAAGGGTAGGTAACTCTCAAACACAATGGCCTGTTTATATGGCAGGGTAGTTGGAATTCACATTGTATTTCAGTCCTTCATTATTATTTCTGAGTGATTCATATGCTATTAGTAATGGTATACAATGTATATGGATATTTATAAGGTAATAGGTCTTAGCAATCCATGTGCAGGTCGTAAGGGGCGACTAACGGGATCTGGTGGTCAGGCTCACTGACTTTCCAGACTTGCTTCAAGCATGACATCTGATTTCATTTGTTACTTTCAGCACATTTAATACAATTTTTTATATCCCCTACTGTTCCATTGTCATTGTCGGTTTTTCCATTTTCAGGAATGTGAAGGATTGTTTATCGAAACCAGTGCTAAGGATGGATCAAATATACAAGAGGCAGTCATAGAACTGACTAGGTAAGCAGAACGTTACGTTAGTGTTACATTGGCGTGCGCCATACGCCAGGCCCCATAGTGGAACCGTTTTCATTAATGATTGATTCTGTCAAAGGATTTTCTTGGTGATTGTGCGAACGCTTCTCGTCAAAGGTTTGTTTGGTGATTGTGCGAACGCTTCAGTCATTACTGAAGTTAAATAGTTATTTAGGAAGAGATGCTGAGAATGTATTTCCATTGTCACACCATTTTGTAGTTTTGACAGAGATTTGCTATACAATCAAGATTTTGTACATTTAGGAATCTTCAGAACAGAGTTTAACGTCTAAATGAGACAGTTACAATTATGCCTTGAGTGAAAGATCCTATTGCTTACAGTCTGAGGCAAATTTCAACTGCAACAACAACAACATCAACCAAATACAATAACAACAAACAACAACCACATCTTCCTTTATTACATCTTGATGTTACTGTATTATAGCTGATAATGGAACTATATTTTGTCAGATTACTGCGAACGAATGAGGACATAGAGGTGAAAAATGTGGGTATGCAGCTGCAAGATATGAAGACGGTGAAGAAAAGCACCTCCTGCTGCAGTCGATAAGGCGGAAAGACACACAGACAGACGGACGTTTAGTGCAATGTGGGATGTCGCAATTCCAGGCATATATCTGTTTTATTCAAACTGAAACTGGTGTGACACAGAATGTGGACACAGTGTAAATATCAAACGTTATTTTCTTATAAATACGTCAAGAAGACCCCTGTGAGAAATCCTGTAAATCTGGATGACCTTTCTCCCGGACAACCCTGTTACATATTCCAGAAGATGATTGGGGAATCCTCACTTTTTAAAGGAAGCCATTGAGCGGTGCATGAGGATGGAAGTTCTACATCAACACGTGACCAAATTACGTCACAAAGAAGTTTCCCTTCTGCACTCGGCACCAGCGTTACGACAACCAGTTCAGACCGGTCAGGAAAAACCAGTGATGCTAAAAGTTGAACCACATTGTCAGCCTCGTTCTGTGATCAGCAGCGCTTGAATTTTTGATCGATGGGGTCATTTAATCCGGAAGTTTGATCACCGGACGAGTCCACTGGGAATGTTAACGGGGTTGTACTGTACATATCCGCTTACTATGAGGTCAGTGGAACATTCCAGCATTATATGCAAGCACATCTATTCCAACCATGTATGCTTATTATAAGACACCCATATCCAGTTCACGTGCTTTAAGATTCCCCAGTCTTGCTTAAACTGGCTCTTTTTAAGTGCTTCCATATCAGATACATGTATATACCATTGTGTCTTGTATAGCGTTGCTTATGTGTTTTGGTGTTGCTTGTCTCACTGATTAGCAATTTGTGCATTGATTTGCAAAATATAATGCATAATTTATTTTTACATATGTATGTGTTATCGTGACCAGTATATTGAAATGGTATGTATTGTACATGTATCTAGTTTTCTTAGTACATGCTACATGTGTAATAGTCCCATTTTTTAACTGAAACGTGTAGTCAGTGTTATTAAACCCAACTCATAGCTTCGTAAAGTTTCCAAATTATCACAGTTGGTATGTATGTAAATAACACACATATGTTTTGATACTGGTGTTTTACCTGATATTTTTATCTTATAGTTTTATTCATTATAGTTTTAGGATAAAATAATATCATTCTGTTTTGTACATGATCTTGTAAATAACGGGACTAATATGTTTAAATTCCATATCTAATCTCCGTGTTTACGAAGGATCTCATGACTTCCGGTTCGGCGTGGAACATACTGTTTACGAGGGGGAAATATCACCAAGGTATTCATATTTCTTTGTAGAAATGTCTAAATATGGATATGTCAGTTGATAAAAACTCTAACACCCCTGGAAATAGTTTGCTCAAAGGATGTTCGAAAATTTATAATTCACCGATAGGACTGTAATGACTGTTTGCATAAAAAGTTCTGTCTCAAATACGTTCTGAACAGTTGCGATAGTGCTTGTGCCTTGGGCGTTTACGGGCGCTTTCGGCTATTTCTACTTTGGCTCGCTGGTCGGACCAGTCTCAAGAAAACAGTCGCTAAATCACAGAGTTATTAATTTGGTTCACAATAACCTGCGTTCATTTGGTTCACAATAACCTGCGTTCATGTTATCTGCAGGATGTGATACCTCTTTAATTTTGTTAATAATGTTAATTAGGAATAACTGTTGTGAAATAAGGGAATTCTAAGTTTGGAATTTTATGTTTATTAAAATTTTAATTTTAATTTTTAATTGAATGGACAACATGCTGATATTTGGTTCAGTGGTTTGTATCAGTTTGATCTGTGAAAGTAGAAAGAATTAAACGTTGACACTTTTCTACTTGTCATACTATCATCATGATGAATATTCAGCATTAACATACGATTAGTCATATGGTTGTCCGTCCAAAGTATCCACGTTACGTCATACTGAAACTATACCTCAGAGACAGTCATTAGAATATTTATTTGTAGAATGTATTTTCTTCATTATCATCGTCACCATGACAGCTATTTATTCCATGTCTTATGAATTCCATCTTGTAGACATCCATCCATCTTCCTAACCCTTGTTACGAGATCCCACGCACAAAAACTTATGATTCCGTATCGTATCAAGACTGCCCATTAACATTTTGGCTTGAGTAGCGCTAGAGCTTTGATGTGAAGAGGTTGGTTATAATTCATATAAAACGAAACCCAATGAGCCGGGACCTCAATAGTCCGGGCACCTCGTTAGCCCGGACTTCATAGTCTGGATACCCGTTAGCCCGGATCTCGATAATCTGGGCACCTATTGTGCCCGGACAGTCCGTTTGCCCGGATCTCGATAGTCCCGTTAACACGGACCCCTATTGTTCGGTCACCTCGGTAGTCCGGGCAAATACATTTACGGATCCTCTTGTTAAAAAAGCATTCCCATGCTCTCTGATTTGTTAATCCTGGATCAATTACTCGGCAAAGCCCGGTTACATTAGGTTTCATTGTCAGTGAATATAATCCAGCCGAGTCGTTCTGGGTGCCGTTGTACAAAGCGATCTTAGCGCTAAGGTGACCGTAACTCCCATTCATTAACGTAGACTTAAGGTAGCCTTAGCGCTAAGGTCGTTTTGTACAACGGCACCCTGGTGTTTGGCATTCAGAAAACATTAAAATGACTCCAGTCAGTGACCCATGCTGTTGTCACATCTCATTTCACACGGGTAGAGGTATGTTAACGGTATCAGGTATGTTAACGGTATCATGGAATAGGGCCTGTAAGTCTCGCGAGGCGCTACTTACGGTACTAAGCTGGTTCCCGACAACCTTAGCACGCCAACTTGAGATATGCGAGACGTGGCCCAGCTTACTTCCGGTACCAGAATTCCGGTGACAAGCGTATATTGAAGAACCAGTGCTGGTCCCAAATTGCGCGACCGCCAAATATCACTTTACTAGACCGGACCAAGTGTACACCCTGGCTTGGCTGTCACAGCTGTTGTCAGTCGTAATAGTTGGCTAATTTGGGAGTGGTTAGATTGGAAATTTATTATTCCTGCTAGAATTATCGGTTCCTTACTGTCTACAGACAACCATGAGACCATTCGAAAAGGTATGAAACGTTGTTTGTCACCGGAAGTACTAAGGTCTCGCGAAGTGCCGTGACCTACTTACATGCTCTATTGCTGAACATGATACAAGTTTCGGGTAACATGGCCAGTGTGCGACCTCTGACGCAGGAAGATAATGAGAGGACATGTGTTCATGGTTCATAAGCTGAACCATATCTTTTCGGAACATGGCGAGGGTGTAGGACATGAATTGCGCGTGTAGAATGTGCATGTTTGGTCAATGGAGAAAGGCTTACTGGTCACTATATCCACGCTTCTGTACTGTTATGCTCGAAACTTTTCCATTCCTGACAGATCAAGTGTTTGTTCGCTAGAGTATGACGCCAGCGTTACTGTGATAACTGTTTCAGTGGTGTCAGAACGGACTTCCTAAAAGTAATACCTGTCTCACAGGCGGAGGGGGGAAATTGTGTAAATACAGAGTCTCAATAAAATAATGAAATCTTAATATTTCTTGTTTTATGTCGCTGCTCCATCATCACTGGACAGAACTACTGTGGATAGACAACACAGGAGAGATGGAATGTTTTGGGCCGTACTAGTTCTTGCAGTACCCTCCTGGGCCTAGATTTTCGAAGCTCTCTTAGCGCTAAGTTAGTCGTAAGTTAGTGTTAAGGTATGACACTAAGAGATCTTCGAAAATCTAGGCCCTCGGCTGTAAGCAGTCTGGACCTGAAAACCAGTGGTTGATAGCGTGAGTAACGACCTACGAGGCCATGGTGCCTTTCTATCAATCAGGAGTGAGTGAATGCGTATGGTTTTACCCATATTTTAGCAATATTACGGCTGGGGACAGACACCAGAAATGGGATTCACACATTGTACCCATGAGGGGAATCGAACCCGGGACTTCAGCGTGATTTGCGGACGCTCTAACCATTAGGCTACCTCACCGCCTCCTATCAGTCAGTCAGGACGCAGCGTAACCAGTCGACCCTCATTGTTATGTCCAGGGGTTGGGCAGTGGTCAAAGCGTCCACTCGTGTGCGGTAAAGTCCAGCGTTCGATTCCCATAATCTGTGAGTATCCAGGATAGTTTTACGACGTTTTTAGAAATATTCCAGCATTTTCCTCACATTGTAACCATGTAGGGAATCGAACCAGGGTCTTCGGTGTGACGAGCGAACCACTATGTTACCTCGCTGCCCTTCACATTCATTTGTGGAGTCCCCGCCTTGATATTATTAAAGTTTGGTGGCGCGTGGTCCTGTGCACAGAGCTCAGGTCACAAATCAGTTGAAGTAAAGCAACGTCGAGCGCGGACAGACCTTGGATGGGTGACCGTGTTTGGCAGCTTGACTCCTGAGAGTTTCTACGACTTCAGTCCTGCCCCACAACGAAGCACATGTGATCTCACCTTAGGCAAGTGAGTTTGCGGTTCAAATTGCCTCTGTTCACCCAGCAGAAAATGGGTACCCGGTTGAATGAAGTCATGTCACTATAACCTTCTAGCGCCTTACAGGCAGCTTGGGTTATCCGGGAAAAAAGAATCAGATTCTGATTAAGCGCCGCGAGCAATCACTGGACTGTGCGCTATAGAAGATGACTTATTATTTATATTATTGCTGTTGGATTGCTGAAAACTATACTGACTCGTGTATTGGAAAACATGTGAGTCATAAAGCACTTTAACATAGAATGTGTGGGGCAGTGGGTATTTTTCTCGATACTTTTAGTCAATCGTAGATCGGTTTCAATCCTTGTAACCATGATGGGGTTCCAACAAGATGTGTTTACTATTCATGCGCCCCTACGAACAACCCCTAAAATACAAATCCCCAAATCATCCTTCTACCGCTCTTTATCACGTGATGCAAATATGGGTCCAGCATCTTACAGCATGTTCTTCTCAACTGTAATGATCATACCCCCAGCACGTGTATCGACGGGACTGGGCTGATTTCACCAAGTGTGTAAGACTATGCTTGCCAACATAGTCACACCGGAAAATTGTACCTTCGAGTTACTACAGCGAGTAGTATTTCCTAAACTTCGACAGTCAAAGGGAAACTGCACCCTAGAAGTCAAAGGACCTTCACCCCAGACGACGTTCCCGGCATGCTTTGACATATTAATTATTGCTATCATCAGTAAAACAGGTTCTTGAATGCGTAAGCCATCAATTTGAATCGTTTCCCTATTTTTTTAAGGAGATACGAACGGTAAAATGCTCATATCAGTGTCGTTAATAATTGACACACATAACGCTATTTTTGTATAGACAATACGTTATTCATGTACCTGAGCAATACCTTCATATACCTGCGAATACCTTCATATACCTGAGCAAAACCTTCATATACCTGCGCAATACCTTCATATACCTGCGCAATACCTTCATATACTTGAGCAATACCTTCATATACCTGAGCAATACCTTCATATACCTGAACAATACCTTTATATACCTGCGCAATACCTTCATATACCTGCGCAATACCTTCATATACCTGAGCAATACCTACATATACCTGAGCAATACCTTCATATACCAGAACAATACCTTTATATACCTGCGCAATACCTTCATATACCTGCGCAATACCTACATATACCTGCGCAATACCTTCATATACCTGCGCAATACTTTCATATACCTGCGAATACCTTCATATACCTGAGCAATTTCTTCATATACCTGCGCAATACCTACATATACCTGAGCAATACCTTCATATACCTGAGCAATACCTTCATATACCTGAGCAATACCTTCATATACCTGAGCAATACCTTCATATACCTGCGCAATACCTTCATATACCTGCGCAATACCTTCATATACCTGAGCAATACCTTCATATACCTGAACAATACTTTCATATACCTGAACAATACATTCATATACCTGAGCAATACCTTCATATACCTGCGCAATACCTTTATATACCTGCGCAATACCTTCATATACCTGAGCAATACCTTCATATACCTGAGCAATACCTACATATACCTGAGCAATACCTTCATATACCTGAGCAATACCTTTATATACCTGCGCAATACCTTCATATACCTGCGCAATACCTTCATATACCTGCGCAATACCTTCATATACCTGAGCAATACCTACATATACCTAAGCAATACCTTCATATACCTGAGGAATACCTTCATATACCTGAGCAGCACCTTCATATACCTGAGCAATACCTTTATATGCATTCACCGTCCTGAATTTTGAATATATGACCCGATTTGATTTTGTGTCTGTCAGAACGACTTGTGTCAGTTTGAGATTTTCGGCGACATTAAGCTGCATGTCATAACTGAAAAACAT